GATAATCTGATGACTTCTGTAATATTTTAATCCCATATTCCCAGCACATGAACATAGAATGAAGACCATTGGGAGAAAAACAAAGAAATGAAGTGAAATTTATGGCATGACTCTACTACCCTTAATTCAGAGAGGATTCTATAACTTGAGAATTTTGTTATAGAGGAATCCCACAAATGGCAGAGCTGGGTAACCTCACAGCAAATCTTCCTTGATTGCTTCACTTGAATGTTCTGGAAGTTTATTTAATAAACCCTGTGACCAAAGAGAGCCCATAGGTGGTGGCTGTGTGATAGCAAAAGCTATCTCACAGCTTATTTCCCTTTATCTGTTGCTTAGACATCTGCCTGCCTTGGGCCATGGCCTCCTCTACAAGTACTAAGTACATTCAGCATGATTTCCACCTTTACTCCTGACCTCTTTTCTCCCCTCCGCTGTGATACAGTGCAGGTCTGCCCATGTACTTCACTCACCGGACAGGGGCACACTTTCTATTCGGAGATTACCTGGCAGCGTCAGCTTTTCTCCATCTCTCCCTACAGGGGATTACAGGAAGGAGCACTCTTACCTAATTGTGGTGTAGAGGCGTCAATATAACTCCTTGCTTGTGGGTAGTCAAAGACTTTACTGGCAGGACCCTCCATTATCCTGTCCCAGGGGTAGGCTAGAAATAGTTCTTTTCACCTTCGAGTGTTTCTGAGAGATAAGACAGCCTAGCCACCAAATGAATGTGGATGCAATCATTTGAATCTCTTTCTCTCTCTGCGGTACTGCCACTCCTGGCCGGAAGTGGTACCCAGGCTACTTAATTGCCAATGGAGCTACAGCGTGAAACTAACGAGCTGTTCAAGAACGCGCCCATTGCTCACTTTCTCCTTCCTGTGGCTTCTGTTCCTGCTTTAGAAACAGAATGAACAAGTTTTCTCATAAGAGGAATATTTGTCCTGCTGCAGTCAGTTCTTTGAACACTTAACTTCATCCTCCACATCATTACCGAAAACACTAAATGGCTCTGGGCCCAGACCTGACCCCTGCGGATCCCATTTGCCACGACCATCAAAGGCGATGACTCACCACCAGGAAGTACTTTCTGTATTTGGCTTCCAAATATGGGAGTGGTTGGGCAACTGTGGGTGGTTAGACTTTTCCAAATTAAATTCCTCCAAAGATATATTTAACGAATACAAAGAGAAGACAGTGCATGCCCCTGACGGTGTACAATAAGCTCAGAGAGAGCAAAAAACAAAACAATGTTCACATAGGATATTTATTGAAAACAAAACAAGGACACTGTGCCAATTGGTCTCTTTTTATTCAAATTCATCATGTCCACTAAGTATACAAAGTGATGTTCAAATATGCTGCACATTCCACTGCAATAGACCAGCTGAGTTTTTCTCAACTAAATAAGCTTGCTATCTCTAGAGCTTGAATGAACTTACTACCACCAAGAGGTTGTCTGGCTGTTCTTTGCTTTAGATCTAAACCAAACTCGCTGCCATCGAGGCGATTCTAGCTCACAGCAACCATGTAGGGCGGGGGAGAACTGTCTCTGGGCTTTCCAAATACGTAACTGTTTAAGGGCATAGAGAGCCTGACATCTCAAATGCTTTCAGAATCTAGACACTTTCAAATTGTGAAGTTCCTGCTTGTACGATATTAGAACATGAAGAGACTGTAATCAATTGGAGCTTTGGATTCCCGAAACTATACATCTTCACAGGAGCAGAAAGCTTCATCGTTCTCCCTCGAAGTGGACTGGTGGTTCTGAACTGCTGACCTTGTGCCCAACTTCAAACCCACCAGGCCCCATTCAACAGTTTCCACATAAACCTTGGTTACAACATATGGTGACACAGGGGCCATGTTCCTTCCCACTCATACTCCTGGATTTGCTGCTAGTTACAGACCCTGATCACAGGAGCAAGACTCCAGTGTCGTCTGAGAAGGAACCAGGTGTCTTTGATTTTCCCAGCTGTCTGCAGACAGAGGCTGCTACCGGCTGAATTGCAAATACAGTTGGCTTTTGAACAACACTGGTTTGAACAGCACGGGCCATTTAAATACGTGGATTTCTTTTCCTGGTGTGTTATTTTGGGTTAAGTGCTTCCAATACTCAAGCTCACCACAATAGCAAGAGGAAGTTGAACAACAAGTTCAAGGAACAACTACAAATTATGCTCAGATTTTTGACTGAGCAGTAGTTGGACACCCCTTATCCCCAGGTTGTTCAAGGATCCATTGTAAATGGATTTCCAGCCTCCCTCTGTGGTCTACTTCAATCACACTCCTCTTCCCCGGGGGCGTACAAATGAGAACATTTACAGTGACTGCCAAGCCGCTCAGGCCAGCCTGTTTTAGGCCTTTCCCTGGAGATTAAGTCAGCAGGCTATCTTTAATTTGGTCATTTTGCCCAAAATCTGTCAACAAGGGCTGAAGGAATGATTTGATCCTTTTCTGTTTGCTTTTATCATGTTTATTCTTCTTACATTAATAAAGCAGTCCATGTCTGAAGATTAGTTGAGTTAGGTTAGCCCTAGTTAGTGACAATTTCCTAAAGTTGTGGGAGATTTGAGACTAGGGGTATACCTCTGTCAGAATGTTTAAACCCCAAACCTTACATCAAAAATATCTCCTGAAGTTTTCTTTAAACCAGAGTTTAGCTGAAGGAATAAAGAATGCCTGCCTTGAGCATCGAGTTCATGTACAAATTACAGGAGGCGAGTTGAGAGTAGCAGAGCGAAAAGTAACTAGGGCACTTCAGGGGCAGTAGGTTTATGAGAGTTGGGGAGGAGTGTGAGAATCACTGAGCAACTTGAGAAACCTAATCAATGTCCCTGAAATGCACATGTAGAAATTGTTAAATTGGTGTTATGTCCTACTGGGCACATTCTAAACAACAATGATAAAAAGTCCAGAGTGAAGGGAGTTTGAGGCCACGCTGAAAGGGGGAGAGCGATGCAGCTTGGAGTGCACAGCAACTGGCAGGCCATGAGCAGCGCAAGGTGCGTCCCAACCTTCCCTCTCCTCCACCTGCAGAGTAAGACGACTTTGGAATTGCACTTGGGCCACCAAGAAAAAGAATGATTTCACAGGTCCCCTCTCCGTGAGGGGATGCAAGTGTGTCCATGCAATTGAATTCTAATCGACAAGATAAAAGGAAATAGGATGTAGAATTTCTTGGACGTGCACTTAAACGAAGGAGGCATATTCTGTAGTCCTCTCTGATGGATGGAATTCAAATAGTGATGGTGAGAATTTAAGCAACTCTCTTGGGCTATGAAATTAGGATGTCATGCATCATGGAGCATAAGATAGGAGGAACTTACGTTCCTGACATCACACTATTCCTGGTGCCCCTCGTTGGGCAGTTATGAGAGAAAGCAGCAAGCCTTGGTCTTGTTTTCATTACCTGGTCTAGGGAAGGCACATAGTTTTGGGCACTTAAAGCCACATCTACTATAGAAGCTTAGGTGGTGGTGGTGGGGGGTGGTGGGGGTGGCACAAAAGCAGGCCCCAGATTTTTCTCACATTATCCCTCTGAGGTAGAGCTAGTTAAAAAACCATCACTATTTTACTAGTGGAAAACTCCTTCACAAAGCTAATTAGGGTCTATATTCCATATTCCTTTTCCTTGATCTCCACCCCTCTGCCCACAACGTCTTCTAGCCAATGAGTCCTTCCATTTTAATTAATTCTTCATACTCGCTGCCATTGAGTCGATACCGAGACTCACAGAGACCCTATAGGGCAGAGGAGTAGAAAGTCTCATCTTCCCCCGGGGCAGCAGCTGGTGGTTTCAAACTGCTGACATTGCAGATCGCAGCCCAACACATAACCACTACACCACCTGGGCTCCTCCTTACACTGCTTATATTCTGCCTTCACTGTTTCTTGTAGTTAGTGCCTCAGGTAGACTATGACAACTTGGATGGAATACATCTCTTATTACTCCATCTCCCACTTAGACGGCAATACAAAGCATTCTTTTAATTTCAGAAATGCCATAAACCCCATAATGAAATTAACTTGGATTGCAATTTTGAGCCCCATGGACTAGCTATACAATTTCTTTTTCCCCACTCTCATCTTCTATCTTCCTGTTCTTTAGAGAAGTTATCTCCACAGGGGAATGAATTACACCCTCTAAAATAGAGACTTACTGAGGAGGTTGAAACTTCAGGTAATCCTTGAAATCTCTGAAAATTTTTGCAGGTGGAAATATGAATTTCTGGTGGAAGGAGAGGTTTATCGCTTTCATCATTGTTAAAAGACAAAGCAGCACGGAACCCAACTAGCCTAAGGGAAATAAAGAATACTTGGCTAAATCAGTACGCTCAATTGTTGAAGGGAAGAACTAAGAAATCCTTGGGTGATTCAATTTAAAAAGAAACCATATCCATGTTTCCTTCCCCAGTACCACCCTGACAAGTTGCCCCCAGTCAATTGCAGTTCCATTCGGATCGAAGTAGACCTCTGTTCCAGAGTTTTCAAAGTAGATCACAAGGCTTTTCTTTTGAGATGGCTCTTGGCTTTGAATTTGAACTTGGTTGAGCATCCCAGCTTTTTAGTTAACTGTTGAGTATGTCAACCATTTTCATCACCCATAGAGTCCAAACCTACATATCAAAGCAAACCCATTGTTGTCATGGGGATTCTGATCCAAATTGACCTTACTGGGCAGAGTAGACCGGCCCCACAGAACTTCCAAGGCTGCAGTCTTTAAGGTCGCAGATTGCCACAGCATCCTTCCTTAAAGCAGCTAGTGGGTTTGAACTGCCTCCCTTGAGTTTATCAGCCAACAGACTAATCACTGCACCCCCACCCCCACAGGCTCCCAAATCCACAGAGATTGATATAAATTTTGCAGCTTCAATTTTGGTTTGGTTTGGTTTTCTCTAAAAGGCTGAATTTCCACCCACAGTTTCAAGAAGAGAAGTTATTTCTTAGTCCCAGTGAAAGAAGTGACCAAACAGAAAATATCAAAGGGACACTGAGAATAAATTGAAGCAATGCTTTATTGCAACCACAAAGCACCAATTCAACAAGGCATTGACACACAGATCGAAGAAATGTCTCTTTAAACAGAGATGTAGATGGTCCACTTTTTCAAGTTCTTATATAAACAAACACTCAAGCAAAGTATCTGAACAATTTAAAAAAATATTACACCATCATGAAGATATGTATATATATAAAAATATTCTGTATTAGGAACAAGGCTTTTTGAAGTGTAACAGTTGGCAACTTTCTTCAGAAGCAAATTATTATAAACACAGATCATAGGGTGAAAAATGCTTTCTTCAGAAGCAAAGGACCAATTGAAAAGCAAATCTATGCAGAAAATACCATGACCCGCCCCGTGACAGCTAGCTGATGAATGTGGATGGGTGTCCCCAGTACCCCCAAAGAGGGTTCTCTTTTCAGAGCCATGGTTCTGCTTCTGAAGGGTGTTCGCTTCAAACATCACAGCATATCCCAATGAACCCTAAATAAGGTCAAGTGGAGGACCCTCGATAAAAAGAGGGTGTGGGCAATTCCATTTAAGGAACACGGGCTCAAAGGAGCAGAGGAATTTGGGGAGGACACACAGTTCCTTTCTCTTTTCCCCCCTCCCCAAGTTTTCTGGGTTTTTATCTTAAGTCTACAACCAAAAAAATATCCATTTTATTAATTTTTTAAGAAGGATTTTGTATAAGCAACCCAGGAAGGTAGTAACCATTCTGATTTCAAAGGCTTTGTTGGGGAGATGCCTAATCATGTCAAAGTTCATTCTCTTTGACAGACTCCACAGGAATACGCCATTCGATCCACATTGTGTCCTCGCTCCTGAGCTGAGTGCCAGGCAGCAGGTGGATTGCCTAGTCTATCCAATAGGATAACATCATTTGCATTGAAATTCTTACATATACACCTGTATGTATTCTGCTTACAAAGTTCCATCACATGAAACTAAATTACATGTTTATTTTATTTTTGAGGCCTACGACCTCAATTTGACACCGCTGTGAAGAGCTGTTCTTTAAATGCTTTGTCTGCAGAGGTTTTACATGATACTCATAGATTTTCAAGGCAGGCCCCAATTTTAACTGAAGTCCTGTCAACACATCATTCCTTGTCATCAATAGCAGGGATTTTCCATCAATTTCCTGGAATATAAGCAGAGGGTACAGCCAACATTTAAGTCCCAAAGTGCCAGGATAATGAAGATAAAAAGTCTTTCTTTTGAAGTTCCAAGGAAAAAGTCATAGCAACTTTCCCCAGCTAAAAACGTCATTTTCAGTTGTCAAAATTAAAAAGAAAAACGGACCTTCTATTTTTATTTCCCATCTTCTCCTTGTATTTTTAAATTAAATATAATCTCTAGATGGTCTCGCTTTCAGACACAGAAGATGAGATCTTAAAACACTGGTGGCAAGTTTAAAACAGATACCCTAAGGATCAAAACATTGCTTCTAAAAGGAATAACTTTTTATTTCTAAAAGATATTAAGGCATATTCAGACTGTCTTGCCTGTTTCTTTCCTTAAACAACTCTATGAACTAGAAGGAGTAGATTATGGCCCTCATTTTACACGCAAATCAAGGATCAAGCGAGAAATTAACTTTTACCTAAGCTAAAGAAAAAAAAAGTTTATCCTAGTTAACAAAAAAAAAACAATAAGAGTAGCACAGGTTTCCCTTGAGTACAACCAAAGCCAGTGCTAATTTCATAACTCCCTTCGGTTTCCCTTGCAATTAGAACTAGGTGCTGGCCTATCTAGTCACATTGGGAATAAAGTTTCAGGTTTTCTGGAATTTCATCAATCATAACAATGGACACTTGAACATTTACCCTCCTTGAGTTTGTTTCTTGTTCTTTAAAAGGAAAATCACCCTGCCTCAACCTCAGTATCAACTTCTCTATGCTTGAGAGTCAAGGGGCCCTGGTGGCATAATGGTTCCGCGTTGGGCTGCAACCCCCAAACTCAGCAGTTTGAAACTTAGCAGCTGCTCCTCAGGAAAAAGATGCTGAACGTCCTTACTCATCACTTTCTCTCACTCTTCACTCTCGGTGGACCCTCAAGACATGCAACGTGGGCATGAGAGCCACACAATTCCCTCCCCTGTTCTGCTTCTACTCTGCTCTCCGCACATTTCTCAGGCACTTTGGAGACCGCAATGCTTTGGGGCAAAATGAAAACGGGTGTCTTTCATGAAAGAGATGAGCATGTCAAATATACAAAGTGGTTTAAGGAAGCACTGAATGCCACTGTGGCATAATCTCCTGTCAAGTTTCCAAGGGGTGAAGTCTAGCCTGTCATTCAGGCCACAGCTAATGAGGCCCCCATGTGGGCCTGGCCCTCTCCTGAGTATTCTGGCAACTCCTATATTCCTCCCTGGAGCCGAGAGACACTTTCTGCTTCGTCTTCCTGCTGACAAGCCACATGGAGCTGTACTGATGCAGCCCGAGCCCTGGAACTGGAAGGGTCACATGAAGACCCATGCCAGTGCTGAGATGCTTCCACCACCATTGGAACCACAAGATTTCCACCCACTAACCGGTGATCTTCCTGCATTCAGCATCATTTCATAGCTGCGTGAGTATAAAGAGGAATTTATGGACTAGTATTGACATATGGGGTAATATTGGACTTATGGACTTGATCTGTACTGAGCTTGGATGTTTTCTTAATGTAAAATTGCTCTTGATAGAAAGTTCTCTCTTACACATATGAGAGCCTCTGGATTTGTTTTTCTAGTGTACCCAGACTAACACAGCCACCTGATTTTTATAATTGTTCACTGTGGGGAAAACCGAGCTGGTTCTTAGGAGACCTGGGTCCAAGAGTTGAACTAGCTGTGTGTGGTGAGTCTTGGCATCCTTGTTCATTATTTCACTCACATATTTCTGTACCCATCTCCCCTATTGACAGACAAAGGTACACAGAGTGCAACTTCAAAAAATACTTATTGTTTAACCTTAGGCAAGTCCCTTCCTCTTCTGTTTCCTGAGTAAGTGTGGCAGTTACATAATCTCCTGACGTGAGCGAAGGGGTGGAGTCTAGCCTGTCAATCAGGTGTCATAGCCAATCATGCCTCTGTGTCGGCATGGCTTTTTCCTGAGGATTCTGGGAACTCCTGTTTTCCTCCCTGGAGCTGGGAGACTGTTAAGACACTCAGAGAGCTGGATGAGCCATGTGAGGACGACCTGTTCCAGCATTTAGACGCTTCCACTGCCATTGGATCCACAAGACTGTCTACCCACTGACCTGTGATCTTCCTGCATTCAGCATCATTGCATGTGCTGCGTGAGTCTAAAGAGGAATTTATGGGCTAGTGCCAAATTTACGGACTTGATCTAGATGGGGCTGGGATGTTTTCTCAATATACAATTGCTCTTTTATATAAAGCTCTTTCTTATATACATGAGTGTCTATAAATTTGTTTCTCTAGTCCACCCACACTAACACAGTGAGTATTGTGGGAATGCTGGGATTCTGAACGGACTCCATGAGATACCCCTTTTGCAGAGAATCCCTGTGCTATCGATTTTATAATTGCTTGGCAGTATCCTCTCCATCATCATTGACAGGATTATGGTCTTCATTTCACTTGGACCAGACCAGAAGAACAAAAATTACTTTGAACTGGTCTCTAATATTTTTGAGGTTTTGAAGCTTTTATATATTTGGTTGACTCCCAGAAGACAGAAGTCATACTAATTTGTGAGAGAAATCTATTCTGAACCCTAACATATAAAGGCTGGTAGGGGAGAGTAAGACAGGGCCAGAGTGGGGATTGAAGGGGACAGGAATTGACCTTTTAATCCTGGTGGGGGTTTTACTGCTGTGGGTTTGTTTCACCTCTCACTCCCCTCAAGCCCATTCTGATTCATAGCGACCCTACCGGACAGGGTAGAGCTACCCCTGTGGGCTTCCAAGATTACTCTTTTCAGGAGCAGGAAGCCTCTATTTTTCCCCTCTCTGAGCAGCTTTCGAACCTCTGACCTTCCGTAGAGGAGTCCACCGAGTAACCACTACACTACCACAGCTACGCCTTTTTTTTTTTTTTAACTTAGGCAGCAAATAATGCTAAAGGTAATCCATCAGTGAAAGCTGCAGGTCTGAAAGAGGGCCGAGGGACTTTGGACAACTAGAAACCAACGCAGAAGACTGAGTCTGACGGCATGGAAAGGCCAGAGGAATGTGAATTTTAGGTTCCCACAGTCTCCTAGACAAGCCTCCTTATAGGCAACTCTTCATCCCACATACTTAGGACATGTTAGCAGGAGAGACCAGTACTGCTTGGTACAGTAGCGAGTCAATAAAATTGGGGAAGAGCCTCCAAGAGATGGTTGGCACAGTGGCTGCAACAATGGGCTCAAACATAGCAAAGGCGAGTCTGGTCCAGGAGCGGTGGGCAGCCTTTCATTGTGTTGCCCGCGGGGTCGCTCTGAGTGGGAAGTGACTGACAGCACCTACCACCACAAGCAAGGCTCATGCCCCTCATCCTGAGCACCGACATGCATACCGTTTCACTTGGAGTACTTTTTTAAAAATGGTAAAATTCTTCTTGCTCCCCTTCTTTCCATTGCTCATACTTATTATCTGCTTTAAATAGGCATCAAGAAGAGATGACACCACTTTCAACTTCACACAATAAGAAAGCAGCCCTGACTAATGGAGATAGGAATTTGAAAGTCCTTCTACAACTCAGCATTTTTATCAACAGCCAAGCAAGTCTGTGAAAAATGCTGAAATTTTGATTTTACTTAAGAAAACATGGAAAATCATGTTTCATGCTCCGATTTGATTTTTCCTGCAGTTCACTTCAGACCAGGCGTTGATCAAAGAAAATTCCAGCTGGAAACCCTCATTTGAGAATCCTTGAAATGCATTTTGTTCACTCACACTTACCACAAAGCCTACCTCTTTCACCGTGACGGCAGCAGCTGGAAGATGGGGTATTGGGAACGTGAGCTGCGAGGCAAGACCGAGGGAGGCCTGAGTTTTGTCCCCCCAGTGGACTGGGTGAGGCCCCGGGGAAGCGATTCAGTTTGCCCGAGCCTCGGTTTTCTTGCTTACATCCCTTCAGGAATTTCAGAGATTGGAAGTGATTCATGTCAGGTACCTAGCACAATGTCTGACATATAGGAGGTACTTGATGACAATTAAGTGGGAATTTATAGACAAAAAAAAAAAAGAATGTGTTTAGTTTCCAAATCTGCCTTCTGCTCTCTTTCTGGAAGTGAGTTCAGTGCTTGAGTGCTATCCTTTGCCAGAGGCATGCGTGCATATTCTTGTTCAAGTTCAGAAAATTTAATGAGATTAAAGAGGTTCAAAGACTACGTAAAACACTTCTCAAAAAAAATGTGAATGTAGGAAAATCCCTGGATTAAGAAATCTAATAAATTTATTACAACATTCCAGGAAAAGACTGTGATGTGAACGAGAGCTAAATCTGGCCAGAGTCTCACGGGGACTGAGGATGGAACTAGAGGGAGCACAGGAAGGGAGTGGGGACAAGTGGGTCTAATGCTGTCTGCTTCGCACACTGCCCTCCAGACCTTCATCTGCTTACTACACAAGTGGAGGGGTGGGCCTGTGACCAGGTCCACTTAGTAATTAAAAAAGAACCCCATGATTCTGCACGTGGATCATGTTACAGCCAAAAAAAAAAAGGAAACCCCAATTCAAGGAACCCGGTTAAAATTCAAGTGAAGGAAAACCTTGGGAAAACAAAAACGTTTGCAATGAATTTAATCACTTGACTATGTAAACCATTTACCCTTCAAGTCCCTGTTGGGTAATAAGATACAGAATGTCTGGATAGTTAATAATTTCCAAAAAGAATTCATGCGTTGATGTAAGATTTGGAGGTGGTGCCTGTAAATTTCCAATGAGGGCAAGATACTAGATTTTAAAATAACAAATAAGTGAGATCCACAGATATTACAGTTCAGTAGACAAGCAGGTACCTGAGAGTAGCCTACTGTGTCACCAATGACTAGATGGAGATTGGGGCCAGTTACTTATTCTAAGCCTCCTTTCCTTATCCAAGCAGGCAAGGGGACGAAGAGGAATAGCAAACGCACTTCTCTGCTGAAAGAGTTACTGAAATAACACGGGTTAAGTAGATTTCCTGATGGCTACTGAGCACAAAATGAA